TGTGTGTGTCATTATGTGTACATATGCGTACTTACTGTATGTGTACATATGATTATGTATGATTATGTATGATTATGTGTACTGTACATATGCATATGCTTGTGAGTGCCTCTTCCTGTCCCCTGCCCAAGTACCCACTACCCAGCAGCCGCATCTGAACGTGGTCTTGTTTTAATGTACTGTAATACTCCTGATTCTGTACTTATGGGATGGAGAATGACTGGCTGAAGACAATCTTTTAAGTCTTACTGACAACCTAGTTTAATGCCCTATTGATTACAGCCCGGTGACCAATCATGGAAGAAGAGAGAGAGAGAGTGCAGGTATCTGCAGGATACAGAGGATGAATTTATGTTATTTTAGCTGATAACTATAGGTTTCTTATTACTGGTTTGGCTAATTGGTGTTATTTTAATTAACCTAAAGCCAATGCATTAGTACATAAATTATTATATAAGGGATGGTTGCTTACATACAGTATGTTTTAACCATACATACTACTGAATGTACATTAGGCAACTGTATATGGTTAGATCTGGGTTTAAGCCAATTTGACTATTTGTGACATTTATCTGCACAAAACCTTCAAAACATCAAAACCCTACTGTATTAAAAAAAAGCAATATTTAATATTTGATTTGGTGCTTTGGCTTTAAATGTCTGACATGCAGAAGCTTTACAGGATTTCTGAAGATGTACATTAACACTTTAAAAGGTCTGAATATTTATTCTAAGCTTACAGTTAAGATTGCTTGCTCTTTTAAAGCTACAGCTAACTGTTTAATTAATGATAGGGATGTCTAGTAATTAACAGTTTTATTCACTTGCTGTTCTGCATCTTCTTTATTTTAAATAAAACCCTATTTTTATTACAATTCGATCATTATTTTTTGCATATGTGTACTTTATAATTGTAATTATGAATCAGCATATGCTTTTTTGCTTGCAATACACAGCTCATTTAGGCTGAATATTTAATATTCCGCATTTCCTATGCAAAGTGGAGGATAATTTTTTTCAAATCTTTTTACATACTGAAAATGATTTACACACTGTCCTCTCATTAGTTAGATAGATTATTTATGCAACTAATGTGAGGACATTCATTTATAACAAAATCAAAAACCCAGAAAATAGGATAGCTAAAACTTCTAAACCTCTTGCAGGTCTGTGTTCACTGTGGCTTGCTGAAAAGTTCACAGCATGGAAAAAGAAAAAAACACCTTAAATTGTCACAATCTCACTTCATTAATTTTGTGATGATGATAATGGTTCTTTGTATATACTGTATATTATTTAATATACATCACAAGCATCAAGAAAACAATCAAAATTCCTTATTCTCATTACATTGTACATTAAAATAATACAAAACACACTTTGAAAGGTTGTAAGGTAAGAGTCATTCAATATTCACAGTAGTTTATGAAGAAACCTATATTTTGATTAAGAAAAATAAATTCTTAAAATACACATCTCGACCACTGATAAATTAAACATTTTAAAATATTTTAATAGTTTTGCAATATTTATTTCCTTTATATACTGTTGGATTTTAATGAGCAAGTGGCAGTAGTCCATAGAATGATTTGAGACAGTTTGCAGACAGTGTAATGCAGATGTGTTTGTGTCATTGAGTTTCTCACAGGGAGGACTAGAACTGTTGATTTTTTGTGAAAGGAATTATGATAGTACTGTACATATTATGACACTTTGTGAGTGACTGAGGAAATGGTGAGAAACCATTGCTAAGAATATGAATCAATCTCACAGAGTCCTATATGATCAAGTGTTCATCAGAAACAGACCACATAATATTATTTTACATTTAATCAAATTTCTGGATTTTGTTTTACTTTGACATTATAAAGTACTTTGTGTTGATGAGTGGCAAATATTATCAGTTAAATACATCATGGTTCAATGTTGTAACACAATAAAATTTTAAAAAGTCCAAGGGGGCGTAGACTTTCTATAGGCACTGTATGTGAACAGCATAATAAAATTAGAAAGTTTATATATTGTAAATTAAAGGAGGCCATTTGCCCATCTAGCCCATTTGGGAGTTATTTGCTAATTGATCCAAGGATGTCATCCAGCCATTTCTTCAAAGAAGCTAGAGTATAGTCTTCAACAACATGAGTGGGCAGCGTGTTCCATACTCCCACAACAGAAAGAAGTGCCTCATATTCTGTAATCATGTAAATTATGCCAACATAAACACCTCAGCCTTTTTATACGACGCCTCTTCTCACTCAATGTTTCACATTGTATTGTTGCTTTCTCCATGCTGTAAACTTTGCACCAAGCCACAGTGAACACAGACCAGCAACCCACATGCATTTTGAATTTTATCTAAATGTTTCTGAATTTTATTTGCTGCTTCAACAGTGTCTGCTAATGCACCCTTTTTTTGTATCATCTACAAACTTCAATATTCAAGCTATCCCAGAATCTAAATCATTGATATAAATTAGGAAGAACAGAGGTACTAGTACAGATCCCTGTGGTACCCCACCAGTTAAAACACCTCAATTTGAGTATTAACCACTTATCTCTACTTTGTTTTCTGTTTATTAACCACTTCTCAAAACAAACACTCACATGTCCTTGAATGCTACTTGTTATTTAAGAATTAATCCTTTCTGAGGAACTTCATTAAATGCCTTTTGAAAATCAAAATATACCTTATCACATACTCTGTATGTATCCATTGCTGTTGATGCTTGTTCAAATAACAAATTCCAAGCTGATTAGGCAAGATCTACCTTTTCCCTGCTAATTTCCATACCAAATTTCTGTAAAGATGATTCTCTAGTTTAGCTCTAAAAATGTTCCCATAAACGTACATGTAATAGAGGTTAGGCTCATTGGTATTATAATTAAACCGCATAGTACATTTTTCTTACCCTTCTTGTGGATGGGCAGAGGACATTTGCAATTCTCCAATCCATAGGGACTACCCCTTTTCTTAGAAAGGGTAGCAAATCATTAGGACTTATACTTTCTGTTGGATTCTTGATCTACCAAACACAACCTGTAAAACCTGAATACTGTCTGAACTACTGTCTCCTGCAATGCACGAGAGGCACATTTACTGAATATCATGCTTCAAGATACTGTATATGGTATGATTTTATATATCTTATATACTGTACAGTCATATATCAGTTTTATTGTCCACATCACAGCCAGCAGGCATGGTCTGCTACTGCTTTAAAGTCATTAGGAATTACTTGGTATATGACATTCTGGGTCATGCCCACTGCATTGTTCAGAATGTGTCACTCCTACAGAACATCCCATTCTCTAATAATGGGTAGGGTAGGGCTGTTTATATACTGTGCAGTGTCATGAAAAGTATTTCCTTCCTCATTTCCTCTATTATTGTATATTTGTCACAGATCTTAACAGATCTTTAGACAAAATTTAACATTAGATAAAGGGAACCTGAGTGAACAAAAACCACTTTCTTTATTATTATTTAATTATTTAATACACAAAGTTATCCAACACTCATATCCCCTGTGTGAAAAGTAATTGCCCCCAATAACACTTAATAACTGGTTGCACCACTTTAGCTACAATGACTGCAACCAAACACTTCCTATAATTCAATATCAGTCTTTCACATCACTTTTAGTCTACTCCTTCCTCGCAGAACTGCTTTAATTTAGAAACATTGTCAGAAAGATTTCGAGCATGAACTGCTCATTTGAGGTCCTGCCACAGCATCTCTATTGGGTTTATGTCTGGACTTTGACTAGGCCACTCCAAAACTTTAATTTAGCTTTTTTTTAGCTATTCTGATGTGGACTTGCTTTTGTGTTTTGGATCATTGTCTTGCTGCATGACCCAACTACGCTTCAGCTTCATCTCACAGACGGATGACCGGACATTTTCCTTAAGAATTTTCTGACAGAGCAGAATTCATGGTTCTTTCAATTATGACAAGTCGTCCAGGTCCTGAGGCAGCAAAACATCCCCATACCATCAAACTACCACCACCATGTTTGACTGTTGGTATGATATTCTTACTGTGGAACTCTGTGTTTGCTTTACGCCAGACATAAGGTCCACTTTTGACTCATGTGTCCATAGAATATTCTCCCAAAAGGTTTGGGGATCATCCAGGTGCTTCTTGGCAAATGAGAGATGAGCATTTATGTTCTTCTTGGTTAGCAGTAGTTTCCGCCTGCTACTCTCCCAAGAAGCCCATTTTTGCCCAGTCTCTTTCTGATTGTGGAGTCGTGAACACTGACCTTAGCTGAGGCAAGAGAAGCCTGCAGTTCTTTGGATGTTGTCTTATGATCCTTTGTGACTTCCTGGATGATTTTTCGTTGCACCCTTGGAGAAATTATGGCAGGCCAGCCACTCCTGGGAAAATTCACTACTGTTCTCCATTTGGAGATTATGGCTCTCACTTTGGTTCAGTGGAGTTCCAGGGCTTTAGAAATGGCTTTCTAACCTTTCCAGACTGATAGATATTAACAACTTTTGTTCTGATCTCTTCAGAAATTTCCTTTGATCATGGCATAATGTGCTTGTTGAATCTTTGTGCTGGCAACTTGAGTCTGATGGTAAGGGTCAAAATAAGTAAGGTATATATTGAGCAGGGCTGGCTGTAATCAATCACCTGACTCTAAATTATTCCTTTAATTGGGTTGATTTAACAATTAGTTTTTCACACAGTGCCAGTTGGTGTTGGATAACTTTGTTCATTAAATAAATGAAATAAGTAAAAACAAAATTACAAAATTAGTTATTTGTTCACTCTGGTTCCCATTATCTAATATTAGATTTTAGTTGAAGACTTGAAAACATTCAGTGTCAACAATTTGCATACTAGAGGAAATCGGAATACTTTTTCACGGCACTGTATACATAAATGAATGTCCAATACAAGACATTTTAGTCTTTAGCTTTATACATTTGTATAATGATTAAATTGAATAAATTAAAATAACTATGCATTTCTACAGAAATCAATAAGTGCTTACTTCTACAAAGATGAAGCAAGGTATAATGGAGTAGCTTCGCTGTGTGTTGTCTGGAGCCATCTTCTGAGTCTCGGGTCTCTCTGCTACTTTTTACAATCTGCAAAAAAGCAGAGCAACTGTCATGTAATATAAGATATGAGTTATATGTATATAAAGTATGGTCTCAATGTTTAACAGATAAGACATCTAAACATTTACTATAAATGAAGAAAAAAACATTATGACTCAATGATTAATTCTGGATGAAATGGGATTTCTCTATATTTCAGGAAGGCACTACAAGTTCATCTACTAAAAGGAACAGCCTACCAATATTCCTTAGACTATTCAGGTTATAATACAAATTTCAACGTACAGTACTTAAAAAGAGTATGGGTAACGTATGTATATATGGGTAAAAAAATCACACAATATTCAAATTATTGTATGCGGATGTAGATAAAGTCTATAACAGAACCATAGCACTCATCAGGCTAGATCTTATCACTGTTTCTATCACAAACCAAAATATAATCTGATAAAATTAACCCAGTAGCAGCTTGAGGAAATACAATGTGTAGTGATATAAAAACAATATTAAATAGCAGGTATCGTATCTTCCTATGTCTATCTCCTCCCCCAGATGCCAATTCATATATTTATTTAAGGTTGGCACACTTTTAGGAAAAACAACCTTTCACAATTGGATGAGGGAGATGACAAACATAACATCCAGGAGCAGTTGGTGTTGCTTATAAATTGTACTTCAGGAAACAAGAGGCCTTTGGCCATTAGCCCTGCTATGAACAACAAAAATGGTGTTAATATTCATAGACTGGAAATTGCTAATGTACTGTATGTCATGTACTGCAACCATCTACCAAAAGGTTACTAAAATTGAACCTCATAATGATAAACCTGTAAGCCTTTCTTCTATTGCATTAATGGACACAATTCTTAAAACTAAACTAGAGCATCATCTGTATGGTAATGGGACATTAGAGGACAGTCAATATGGATTAATTAAACATTGGTGTTGCTTGTTCTTAAGTTATGCTGTAAAGGTTTTCAGAAGGCCAATACTCTGATATGAAGTTCTGATAAAATTCCTCATGAAAGGTTAATTCTCAAAATACAGGAGGAAATCAGTGTCTGCTTTGCATGCATCATGATAGGAAATGCATGCACCTGAATTAATGGATAAAAACAGAGAGTACAGGTCCGGAATGAATGTTCAAATTGGGATGATGTATTTAGGGTAGTACCACCAGAATCTGTTTTAGGACCATTACTCTTTCTGATTTATATTAAAGATCCAGAATCTGGTACAAAAAAGGTTCACTAGTCCTATTTGCAAACAATATCAAATTAAGAGGATTATCAGACATTGTAGAAATTGCCAATTAAATTAAAAAAAGAGATTTATAAAGGCAAACATCTGTCAGGTGGCAATGTAGCTAAATGAAGTGCATTACTCTGAAGAAACACAAAATGGGAAACACAGCTTGAAGAAGCAAGTTATGAGAAAGACGTAAGTGTTTATGTTGCTATGTCATTTACAACTGTAAGAAAGTGTTGGGTAGCAATAAAAAGGG